CATCACAGAGGATGTGGAGGGTGTGCAGGGACAGGTCTGCACAGCAAGGACAGCTCCTCTGTAAGAGTGAGAAGCTCTGTAGAGCTATTTTAGGCACGCCGTGCACAGAAACAAGAAGATGGAGATGTTCAGGGCTGGTGTATAGAGCATGTGTTGTGACTCCTGGGGTTTCTGCTGCCGTTTCTGCCAGACAGCAGCACCCCTGAGCAGCCTTCTTCCCACACACTGCCCTGCCTCGCTCTGCTGAGCGAGCTGGTCGTCTTTGTAAGATGCTCAGATTTTCATATCAATGATGCTATGTGCTTGGGAAAAAAACTATTTCGCTTTTCTGGCCTGCTAGAAAAAGTGTCCCCATAAAACAACTCATGACCTGGAACATGCCCTAGAAATTGCGTTTCATCACCTAAAACGTTTGTGGATGTTACAATTAAAAACCAGAGATCCAGCTGCCCCTCGGAGAACTTCACTGCACTCAAGCCCAGGAAAGACGGACGCGTTGGTGAAACTGCTTCTTCATTTACCTTCACTGTCCCTTCGACCTCCACAAACCAGCGTCTCAGCATGGCCTGGATCTGCCCATCAGTCAGCTCAGGATTGGCATCATGGATCTTCTTTTTTACCACATTTTCTAGAAGAAGACGTCTCAATCTCCAGTAGAAAAAGGTACGGGAAGTTTTCCAGTCTAGAATGTCCTGCCCGAGACATAAGTGGAGAAGGAGAAATGAGTGAGGGACAACATCAGCATTTACGTGCAGACACATGTATTCCCTGCAGGACTAAGAGGTTTGCACTCATTATACACTCAATTATACCGCTTGCACAAGAGAAATGCAAAGACTCCCACGTCTGAGCTTTGAAGACCACCACCCTGCCACAACGTTCAGTCACCAGAAGCTACTTCCAGCCTCCTCCTTTGCCTCCCAGAAGTCTGCTCCCTTCTGCAAAAAGAGACACAGCTCTCCAGATGAGCCACAGAGCCCAAGACACTTGCACCCAAGAGGAGAGGGAATAGGAAAATCTAACTGTCCAGGTTTCGATCCCGGGCAGGACAGCAGCCCTTCCCATCACTGCGAGCTCCCACGGGTTCAGACTCACCACCTCCCCTGCCCTCCCCTCCTGCCAGGGCAGGCTGCCACCTGCTCAATGGGGTTTCTGATGAGCTACTGGTGAAACCTAAAAAACGTGGGGTCTGAATGGACACGGATCAGGTGAAGGTGCTACAAAACATGATGCCCTTGTGTTCTGGGACCAGAAAACAGCTGGCAGATGGAGGGGTTTGCTCCCGTGGCAGGAGTCATGGGGGCAGAGGTTTACTTGCAGGCCCCCAGGCCGCCTCCAGCAGCAGCTTGTCCCACTGGAGACTGACATTTCCCACGTGTCAAAGCCTCCAACCGTGTCCCCAAGGAAAGCTCCATGATACTCACAGTTATAGCACCCTTCTCCTGCATCCGGCCCGGCGTGTCGTGCAAGTCAGCAAACTGCATGGCCACCTGCTGGTAAATGGGAATCAGGAATTCCTCCCGCTCCTTCAGCTTGGTCTCCAGCTCCTTTCGGTCAGCGGGGCTCAGCTCGGGGGTACCTGCAACCAGGCACAGCCCCACGTCAGACCCCGTCCACAGGGGCGTACGAAGGACTGCGGCACGGAGGAAAGGCGAGTAGCTCTGGACACAGCGGAGGGACAACGGAGGTTTCTTCCGTTCCTGCGTACGGGTGAAACCCCGACTGCCTCTGGCCAGGACACACACCAGACCATCAGCTCCCAGCAATGCCAAGTGGCATCTTGAGTCAAACATAAATGTTCCAGCCCACATTCCCTGCTAGCGGTACGAAGGAGTTTTCACCATGGAAACTCTATTCCATTTAAATGCCAATGAGCTGAGCCATCAATTAAGTGACATTTACTGGACCTACTCCTAAAGAATAATGTCCCAACACGCAGTTGATTTAGCAAGAAACACGGACAACATAAAGCCACCTACACAACTTGAGGATCTCCTGCAGGCTGGTTCCTGCCAGGAGCTGTTAGAGCCGCTGCCTGGCTACGGAAAACACACGAGTTGTGCCAGAGATGCCCAAACTGCTCACGCTCAGTTTACCAACGACCTGCACACACTACTCCCAGTCACGGACTACTGCGATGGACAAGAAACTGTGTCAAGAAGATAATGTCCTGTGGAGTTCATAACTCTTCATTTATTTTAAAGCATTCAGCTCAGATAAAATTAACTCTGATTAAAACAAAAACAAGCATTAAATAGTTTCTGATCAATTTTGGAATTGCCTGACCCAGACTAAGCCTGGCACAGGGAAAGACGTGGTGCTGGGGGGACACGTCGCAGCAGAACGAGGTGCTCCTTCCCGCAGCCATCCCTGTGTCCAACCACGGATGTAAATCCCCTCTTCTCCCTGTACCAGGCCACGGGGAGCGTAACCCTAAGTGCAACTCTCCACTGCACCTGCAGTAATTTACACCAGGTCAAAGCTGGCCCAGCAGCAGGTGGATGCCTCTCCCACATTGCCTCACCAACGCACGTGCAAGAGATCCTCGTGCAGAGGCAGAGGATTTAGAGCCAATCTTAGTTCAATCTAAGCAAAGATCGCAGTCCGAGCCGGGTCATGGACGAGTCTTGCTCCAAGCACTGGTGGGTTGTAACATCCAACTGTCCTACAGCACCTTCCATTCCAATGTTAACACGACCGCCCACGTGCCTGGGAGACGAGCGAACATGGGTGCCTCTCCGGGGCATGGGTGCCTCTTCAGGGTACAGAAGGGAGCTGAGATGCGAGACAAAGAGGTGTCCTAGCCAGGAGCAGCAGTAGTCAACAGGAGAACCTGGAACAGAAGCTGGTGCTGCGGTTCTGCCGGAGGACAATGCTCCTCTCCTCGTTATCCACGTTTTGTGGTGTGTGAACACCACGGAGCTTCCTTTGGTTTTAATCTGCCTAATTTGTGAAGGAATGTCAATGGGATTAAGGGCAACATCTACCATTACATCAACACCTACTGTTACACTGCCACGCTCCCAGGCTGGGTGACATGGAAGGTGATGGCTGGGGAGAGGCAGGGGG